CCCACCTGGCACCCGGCGATAAATAAGTGGGTTTTGGGTTGCAGTTTGGGCACTTGGTCTCTAAAAGGTTCGCCATCACTGTCCTAGAGTAACTTTTAAAAGCGGGATTCACTATTGAGTAAATATAAACAGGACAACTGAACAACAACAAAAAAAGATGTTGTGAAATCTTTTAAATTTCAACAAGATGATCTACCTAAAATTCAGCTCACCTATCAATACTATTTTGTTGTATTCTGTGTTCAACCTGGACTGAGAATTTCTGCTAATTTGACACATCATGCTCAATCTTAGATTATGCATGATGCTACGTACCAAATGTATGCCTCTTCAAATGTATGGAAACACATTTAAATATGTAATCAACAGCTACTCTGAAGTCTCACGTGGCAAATATATTCAAGATCCCACAACAGAAGACTCTCCAACTCCTGAACAGATCCAGTGCTCCTATAAAAGTTTATTTCCAAAGAAACCAGTGTAGCTCGCAGAACAGCAATGTCACATGGGCCACACTGGGGGTCCCTAGAACTGTTGTAACTATGTTTTGAAAACGACTGAAACATTCTGCTCGTGCTCAAAGATATGCTTTTTTATCTCAATTGCAGGATTCAAGATACACTGTACTGCTTTTTGAATTATCCTAATGTTTGTTTCTGTAGATTTTCAGAGAAAGCCCAGCGCTCAACAAGGGGAAAAAAATCTGCCAGTGTTTTGCTGAGTAAAGTCATTTTATGTTGTTGTTAGTTGCAAAGTCGTGTCCAACTCATCGCAACCCCATGGACAATGTTCCTCCAGGCCTTCCTGTCCTCTACCATCTTCTGGAGTCCATTGAAGCTCACGCCTACTGCTTCAGTGACTCCATCCAGCCCCCTCATTCTCTGTCGTCCCCTTCTTCTATTGCCCTCAATCTTTCCCAGCATTAGGCCCTTCTCCAGTGAGTCCTTCCTTCTCATTAGGTGGCCAAAGTATTTGAGTTTCAACTTCAGGATCCGGCCTTCTAAAGAGCAGTTGTGGTTGATCTCTTCTAAGATTGACCGGTTTGAATGCCTTGCAGTCCAAGGGACTCGCAGGAGTCTTCTCCAGCACCATAGTTCAAAGTCATTTTATGTAGCCTATCCCAAACATCTATGGAAACCAGAGCAAAGGCAGAATCATCTGGAAAATTTTATATTAGGCCAGAAAAAACTACTTCATGAGGCAATCGGTTCAGATACTTCCAGCTTGCAGAGATCATACATAGTTGTTTTTTTTTCATGGCTTCTTTCGTTTTTCTCTTACCTTGTCTACCTCATTTTTATCCCTTCTACCTTCTAACCTCTTCTGATTAATTTTTGCTCATTGAGCCAGGTGATAAAGATTATTTGGCCTTTTTTTTCCTCTTTCACCACCTTCCCTTTACATTCCAACCCTAATTTCCTCTTGCCTGATCATGCTGCTTATCTTTCTACAAATAAATTACTATGTGAAGCCCCACACATACAGAGGTATTTCTAAGGAAAGTTGAAAGAAGATAAAAAGAAAGAACTGTGACTGGGTAATAAGAGAATTGTATAAGAAAGTATTTGAGCTTGCAGCTTGAGCTTGGTTTTGCTGTTGGGATGCCTTAATTTATATGCAATTAATTCTAAATCTAATAATTCATTTCGTTTCTGGCCTTGGCAATTTTTGAGAGCAGTCCTGTCACTCAAAGACCTGTGCTATCCTCATGTCATATCCTTCCACTTTAAACCTTATGCTTCAAAATGAATTCCTATAAAGAAATATGAGATTGGCTATTACTTACGTAACCTTATATCTATTGAAATCAAATAATTTTACAGCTGACAATTCTTTAATATATTCAGAAAACTAAGAATATATTTTCAAAAATATATTAAGTAGTTTAAAAGGATAAAATCTGAGAACTAAAAATTCCAAAAGCATTGTGATCTTACCACACATTATTCCTAGGGCTGTGCTAAATACTGCCATATAACCGAAGTAAAATGATGTCTGAAACAAACCATACATCCTGAGGAGAAAAAAAAACAGAAGATAAAACAAATTTTAACATTCCCCAAATTATGAATAAAGTTGTGTTATTTCAAGTTAGATGTAAAATGTTAATTACGTACTTTGTCTTGAAAAAGTAGTAATAAAAGGAATACATATAAACATAGATTGCAGTTGAAGCAGCAGAGAGAAAACTCGTCCATTGCCTGAAAAACAAATCAAGAATACCAATTACATAAAATGTTCCATGACAAAACTTGTAACACATATTAATTCAAATTTAATTAACCATTCCGAGTTTCATAAAAAAGTAAATATTGTACAAATGTTGTAACATAAAAACTGTTCATGTTTTTGTTCAGTCTCTACAACCTAAAAGAGACCAAATGTTCGATCTTGCTCTTTAATGGTTAAAACTGAATAAATATATTGTACTTACCACCTATAGTCCTCTGCATTCAGTAAAAAGTATGTACACACAATTGTCACACAAACAGTTACAATGCAAAGGATGACCAAAACTAACATCATGAAGCCATAGACGTAATAGATTTTGTAAGCCCAGAAGGAGGTGAAGATAAAATACCTAAGGAGAAAGTAAGTATAATTCAAATATACATCTCTGGTTAAGCTGATACTGACAAATTGCTTCTATAAAAATAACTTACATTTCAATGAAAATTGATCCGAAGGGGAGAATGCCACCAAGGCAAACAATAACAGCTGGTTCCATAAACCTGGGGGAAAAAAGAACTATTTTTCTCATTTAACCAAGGTCAATGGGAAAAAATCATTTAACAGAATATCCTGTGGAATTCACTGAAGTCGACAGAAAATCACCACTGATTTTTAAAATGCACTAGGGTAAAATCTAAAATATCTTGAATACTTCAATAAAATTCAGACTGTGAGAGTCACAGGTCTGTCAGCCTCTAAGATTAATTACAAAACTGTTGCAATATTAGTTTGTTTTAATATATTGTCCAATATTAGTTATGTTTTGACAATTGATGAGAGCATCTAGCCCCTGCATGAAAGAGATCAATCACTACTTGATGAAAAATGTCACGTAGTTATGAAAGATAATGCATCTTATCTCCTATTATATGCCATCATCTTATGCTTAGATAGTTATCTGGAAGTACCCATAAAGATAAACTACCTTTTAAAGTAGGTTAACATACTTTATCAGATACATGAATACAGACAAATTTAAAATTTACCATTTTTTCTCTGGGATTGGACGAGGAACAGCATTTACTCGGCAAGGAAAATTGGGCTGACCAGAAAGATTTCGTCCAAGTATTGTCCCAACAAGATTTAAAGGAAGAATAACAAAAAAGCAGATGCAACAAACAGCTACCTGTTAAATCAAATAAGAATAGATATAAAATACATTCATTAAAATAAAATCAACCATTATTTTAGCAGCAATTAATCACAAGAAAACACGGAGCTATTCAAAATAGATAGGTTAAATGTTCAAATTGATAGTGACAACTATCAAGCTTTGCTATGAGTTGAACAGCAATGCCCCTCCTATACATTCCCACTCACTCCACAAGAGCATCAACTGCATTGACAGCCTTTCTTTAGGGCAGGGGTCCTCAACCTTGGCAACTTTAAGACTTGTGGACTTCAACTCCCAGTTGAAGTCCACAAGTCTTAAAGTTGCCAAGGTTGAGGACCCCTGCTTTAGGGTATTCTCCTGTTGGAGATTACCTTAGTACAGTGGTGGCGAACCCATGGCATGTGTGCCAGAGGCGGCACTCAGAGCCCTCTCTGTGGGCACACGAGCCATGCCCCGGAGATGCCAACCGTCCCTCTTCAACCAGCCACCCGCTAACTCGCCGAGGTCCCACATGGCCGGATACATCCCAGCACCCATGCGCTCGCTGGCCTCTGGCCAATAGTGTCAGGCAGCAGCCGCCTGGCCCCTGCCTCGCCTTGCCCTGCGACAATGGCACCCCCACCCTGTCTAGTCTTGCCTCACCCCACAGGACGAGCCTCCTGCCCACCGCCCCACCTGCCAGAGACCCCCTGGATCTCCCACAACCCTGCCCGGCCCCCACATGCGTCCCTCCCCACGAGCAACATCAAGGTGATCACGCCCACCTTGGCCACACCTACCCAGTCTGCCATGAACACCACAGCCACGCCCACCCAGCAGGCCACACCCACCCAGCGATAAATAAGTGGGTTTTGGGTTGCAATTTGGGCACTCGGCCTCTAAAAGGTTCGCCATCACTGCCCTAGTAGCTATGCAGATTTCAGTCTTCCATCTTTATCCAACAGATGGAATCTCTCCTTCTTGATGAATACAGTTTCTGCAAATTCAAGTACTCACCATTGTCCCAAAAGGAATAGCTCTTGATGCATGATAATAAATGGCAATAAAATTAATGAAGAAGGCTGTGCCGCACACCATTGCAGGAATAAGGAATGCTCCAATGAACATTTGCTTTATCCATCTTCTTCCTGCCAATCAAAACATTACATGTGTTTGTGATCAGGGTTACGATTATGAACCTTAAAATTCTGCAGTAGGATATCGCTTAACTGGCATGTAACACTGTTTAGACTGATGATGATGATCTCTCAGTACCACTTTCCTCTTGTGGACCTAAAATAGGACTACAACTCAAGGTGGTATTTTCACAAATCTTGCAAATAAATACAGTTTTAAGGCCCTGAAACTTTTCTCTCTGTATCATTAGAAAACACATATTCTGAACATTTTTATCATTGCTTCTTAAATTTGGACATAAATTTGTTATAAATCATGAAACTTTTATTTTCTAAAATCTATTACTCTTGTCTATGAAATTCTGGCAATGTCATAGTACGGTTATAAAATGGTTTTAATGAAGAAATTAATGTACATCATCTTCCTCCTCTCTTGCTGAAATATTTCTCCTCTTGGAAACAGGATCTGAAGATAATTCTCCTGGCTATCTTTGTACCTATTCAGCCAACCATCTCAGTAGGGTATGAGTAGTAGGACAAACTGAATGTATGTCCTTGTTCATGGAAATGTGAGGCTAACAATGAGTTTGGGTCTTCTCATCCGACGGCTCATTTGTGTTCTTGCAGTCTGGTGAGTTAGCTTCCTCCCCATCTGACCTACATAGTCACAGGGATAATCCATACAGAGGTATCTTACAGAAGTATCTCCCACCTCCAAGCAATCATTACAATGCATGATTTCTCCTTGTATGGTAGCCTTTGGGCGCTGTGCGATGCCCACTGGCAGATCTCAGAAGCTGCGTTCTGCTGCTTCCGAAATGTGCCATATAGTTGGTCTTGCACCTTCTTTCTTCCTTTCTCTCCCCTGCGTGTTGCGCAGGCATCTTATCATAAATGCTTGTAGGTAGCCATTCTGCCTGAATTGTTCACGTAGGTACCTGCTCTTCAGTTGTTTAGCTTGCTGGACATACAGTGGCTTCTCACCCTGCCATACAGTGTTTTGATGCAACTCTTTTTATGTCATAGTGGATGGCTACTGTTGAAACTCAGGATGTGTTGAGTGTTGGTGGCTTTGCAATAAACTGTGGTTTAAAGGCTTCCATCTTCTTGCCTCTTGTCAAGCACATCTAAAACTGGTAATTGCCTACCCCTGGTCTAACCATTTCTTCCTCTATTGTGAATTGTATTTCTGGGGAAATGGAGTTCAATAGGGTATGAAAGTCTTTCGGTACATTTCTTTTGATGATGATTAATTTTGGTAGCGGCACCAAAATTTAGGTGTATAGTTTTGAAATGCATGGTGTTCTCGTTTGCGCAGGACCGTTTCTGCAATGACTCCTAACATTAGGGATCCCGTGGGTGTCCCTTTTATTTGCTCATACATTTACCTTTTGACCAGGAAGAAGATACGTTGACAGTATTGGAGTAATTTCATGATTTGTGTCCTGGTTAGGTTTATTCTGATCTGTGTTCTACTAGTCTTTTTCTAGTTTTCTGTCTATTACTTCGGATGCTAGGTGGGGAGGGATGAATGTAAACAGGCACATGAGAACATGATCTCATCAAGGAGCCCCATTTAAGCCTTGTAGTTTTGTCAAAAATGGTGTGGATGATGTGACCGTGCTGTTCAAGGGTAGGATCAGGAAATTTAAGCATTGTGCCAGTCACTATGCCAGCAGCTACTCATTAGTAGCCTCACATTTCAATGAGCAAGGACATAGATTCAATTTCACAGCTACTGAGAACCGTTGGCCGAGCAGATGACCAACCTAGATTGGATCCTGCAACATTATCCTGGGACGTGTATATTTGCCTTCATTCCTGTTATATTAATTACACCGAGTCAATTTCCTCCCTCAATGTTAAATAATTATACCAATAGTATTTATTGTGCATCACATACTATGTAGCCACAGAAGGGTGAGAAAATGGTATGAGATAAACGAACTGTCTTAACAGTCTGAGAATAGATGTGAATCTCTGAACGGAGTACGAAAATCTCCACTATTTGTTATTTAAAAGGAAAAGGAAAAGGAAAAGAAAAAGAAAAATTGAAGAAAAAAATACTAACAACATTAATAATAAGTACTAATATCTGGGGCATACTATTGTTGCATGGATTTATAGTTGATTTAATCACAACAATCAGGGAATGCAGAATAATTCCTCTCTGATGGCCTGCAGTAAGATCTTGAAATAATTCTTTCTTTGGTCCTTTGTCGTTCAGCACATTTACACATGACAAGGACAAAGGTATAGATAGGCTGAAGGTCAGGTACCAAAAACCTAAGCATGAGATTACCGTGTTTCCCCGGAAGTAAACCCTACTCCAAAATTAAGCCCCAGATGATTTTCGGGGTGTGTGCCTAATATAAGCCCAACCCTGAAAGTAAGCTCTAACATGGGGCGGGGCGAGTTGGCCCAGATCTTCCGTGTGACAGCTGGTGCGCCCCCCCACCACTGGCCTGCCAGGGCTTCGCCAGTGGCTGCTGGTAGAACCGGCTGCCACTGGCCCCGCTCTCTCCATCCCACTGTCTGTTTGCCTATGGTCACAATGAACCAAACCCTCGGCGAGCCCCAGCCTCCACCCGCCCTGCCTGCTGGCCCTACCGCTGCTGGGACATTTCTCGGTCGCATTGAGGGCTCTTTGCCCTCCTGACTGCGCTGCTGTGGGCTGCCCTGCTGGGCTGCTCCTCCCTGGCACAGGGCGAGTCGGCCCAGATCCGGAATGCTGCCCTGCTGCCAGGGCCCTTCGCCAGCAGCCGCTGGTGGAGCTGCACCAGCCACGCCTCTGCCTTTGGACTGCTTGAGCGCCAGCCTGCACGCCTACTTGGTGCTGCAGGCGCCGGGCTAAGGGTGAACCTGGCGTTCTTCGGGCCCTGGCGGGTGCTGCAGCCCTCATGCGAGCTGGGCACTTTTGGCCTCTACCGGCTGCTCCTGCCAGATCACCTTTGCCCGGCCGGCCACTGCCACGAGATGAGGAGGTGAGACAGGTGACAGGGGGGTGGAGTTGCTTCCCTCCACCTGCCAAAGCCACGCAGGGTAAGGCTGCAGGGTAAGTCCAAGGAGGAGACTGACCTATTTCCATTATTATAAAGTTATTTTTAATAACAGTTTTGAGTCTATCAATTACTCTCTGTTTCTTACCAATACTTGCAAAAAAAGCCCATAAATTCATCTTTTTAGAACACAGTTACAATCACTTCCAATCATGCTTACTTTCTTTTATAAACATCAAGTCTGTAATATTTTCAGCCCTGGATATGAGGTGTGAGAGAAGCACTGCACTTCTCAATGCACTCAAGTTCTCCCTGCATGCATATAAACGCTCAGCCGGTTGCTTCATCAGCAAAAGTGTTGTTTGTGCAGGAATACATACGGAGACAGACCAGGAAAACTCTTGAAGTAGCTATGCCACATCTTATGCTAGATCAGGGGTAGTCAACCTTGGCTCTTTTATGACTCGTGGACTTCAACTCCCAGAATTCCTGAGCCAGCTAAGCTGGCTCAGGAATTCTGGGAATTGAAGTCCACGAGTCATAAAAGAGCCAAGGTTGACTACCCCTGTGCTAGACGGCACTATGAACAATAATCAAGAAATGCTTTACCTCCTTGCCTGGCGTAAAGGCTCCCTCCAAAGTAACCGTTCACTGGTGATGTTGCAGCATAAACAAAAATAGCAGTACTTAACATTGATCCTCTCCTAAAATAAAAAAAATACATTTATTTTTTTGCTATACAAATGACTGCCCAAAACATACAAAAGGGAAAATAAAAGCACAGTATAAAAATAATTTGGAATGCCTAGTACAGTGATGGCGAACTTTTTAGAGACCGAGTGCCCAAAAACTGCCCCCGCCCCCGCCTCCCGCTCTGCCTGCTCCGGCCCCGCCTGCCCCCTGCCCCGCCCTCCCACAGGGCTCCATGGCCTGCCGCAGATCGCCCAGGCAGCCCTGCAGCGCCATGGAAGCCACGCCCTCCGCCCACACCCCGCAGCATCATCTGCACGCTATGGGGCGCGAGGGCGGAGTCTTGTTCCTGCTACCTGGCTATGTCCTTAGCTGCACTGCTCCATGCAGAGCCACGCCCGGGGGCAACTTTCCTCCAGGGGGGGCTGCTGGTGAGGAAGGGGCCGTGGGCAGAGGCGGGGCTGGGGCAACGGCGCGCGTGCCCACAGAGAGGGCTCCGAGTGCCGCCTCTGGCACGCGTGCCACAGGTTCGCCACCACTGGCCTAGTATACCACTCAAAGAATGATTGACAAGGAAATGTACAACAGCAACAAAAATAATGAAAAGAGTTTTCTACCTCAGAATGCCAGCGGTTCATCCCTGATTAGGCATCACTACTATAGTGTGTTTCACGTAACTGCTTTAGCTGAGCTTTATTAAGATGAGAAACATTAAGATATACTGGCAAAAATAAAAAAGGTCTATTAAAAAAAATTGTTACTAAAAATGTATATTCTCATTTAGTTAAACTTTCTTTCTTGAGCTGAGAGGAGATGGCCATCATTGTCATGGTTAATAGTATCCCAGAAATAATAAAACATATGAAAGTATTATGATGCTATGATGCCACTATGATTTTCTTTCCATAGTTTTCAAACTACAGGGTATAGCACAGGCATGTCAAACTGCCCGCCCGCGGGCCGGATGCGTCTCGCCGAAACCGCGCCTACCCCATTGCCGGCAATGGGGAAAAAGTCCCGATACGTCGCACAACGTCACAAGTTTGACATGCCTGGTATAGCACATCTGAATAGAAACACTTGTTCCTCGCACACCCAACTCAACCAGGGAGATATATCAATAAAAACAGAGTGGCAGAAGGAATTTATGTTCTGTCAGAATAGGAAATAGCATTTTGTTGTTAGTTGCGAAGTCGTGTTCGACCCATCGCGACCCCATGGACAACGTTCCTCCAGGCCTTCCTGCCCTCTACCATCTTATGGAATCCATTTAAGCTCATGCCTACTGCTTTAGTGACTCCATCCAGCCACCTCATTCTCTGTCGTCCTATTGCCCTCAATCTTTGCCAGCATTAGGCTCTTCCCAAGTGGGTCCTTCCTTCTCATTAGGTAGCCAAAGAACTTGAGTTTCCACTTCAGGATCTGGTCTTCTAAAGAGCAGTCAGGGTTGATCTCCTCCAGGACTGACCGGTTTGATCGCCTTGCAATCCAGGAGACTCGCAGGAGTCTTCTCCAGCACCATAGTTCAAAGGCCTCAATTCTTTGGCGCTCAGCCTTTCTTATGGTCCAACTTTCACAGCCATACATTGCAACTGGGAAAACCATACCCTTGACTATATGCACAGGATATTAAAATAATTTTATTAGAAAAAATGATATTGTGATAATTGTTCTCCTCTATTTCAAAAACCATCCCTGTTTCTGACTCTATTAGTATTTCTCTGAGATTCTACCATACTTGCAGCTTTTCTGGCTTCTAGTTGTCTCTCACAGGAATCTAGCAAAGAAAAAATAATTTTGCAGTGCTCTCAATAGTACCCATATCCGGAAAGGAGAATAAAATGTCTGTTTGGTCAGTAGGCAATTAGACTGGATATATGTGGAAACTTTATTCATATCCATATCTTGGGAATGTTGATCTTTTTATGGATATAAAGATAAACCCAGAAGCAGCATCAAGGATTTTTTTTTAAATAGCATTTTCACTGCTGCTTCCTAATGTTAAAGTCAAATGCTTTTCCATATTCAGACAAAAACAAAGCAATTTAATGGTATCACATTCGAAGAATGCAAAAATGTGTTTGGATTTTCAAATATCCAACAACTTGTAACAATTATAACTTGTTAGTAGATACATTTCTTGAAATACAGCTAGTAACAGTCTAAATGTTGGTTCACCAGACTATGTTCTATTCAAGGAAGAGAGTTTAGGATCTAATTCATCGTTTTAAATTTAAAATATGTATTACCATAAATTTGTACTTTACCTATGTTAAAACTCTAAGTCAAATAAACATATGAGTATTATCTATGCATCTTCTAGTTGCACGGCTATTCTTCTATCTTTGGAAAACTCTAGAGCTCCAAAAATAGCTGATATGCAAGTAGGCTCACTGGACCGTACCAATATATATATTTAATATAACCAGAAAGTAATACTTACTCTGTATATAAATCTTCCAGCATGGCAACAATGATTACTATGAAAGAAACCGCAAAGATTTGGCAGCCAGAACCAATAAGGGATGAGAATATTAAAGGATGGCTAGATGGCCTGAAAACGTCTCCGTGAACTTGTTTCCAACCGTATTCATCTCCTAGATCTCTATCCTGCAGAAAACACAATACATTCATTCAAAACAAGAAAAAAAATCTAATTGCCAAACCACAGTCTAATTCAGTCTATAAAGTATCACCCACAACTTGCTCTACCGAAACCTCTTCTAAACTGCACAGATTTTCTCCCCTTTCTCCCTACTCCCACTTTGCAGCAAGTGCATGCTAAAAAGCTCACATCATTGGTCAATAGTTTATGATAATCTCTGATCAACAACTTGCAATCACTAAGTAAAATCTTATTGCCACATCAGTAACATTTCTGAGGAGAGATACTGATGATGGGTAAAGGAGCATTAATCCATGTTGTTACGACTGTAGAAAAAGCATGCAAGAGAATGCACAAAAAATGTATCAAGTGCTGCATACTTGCGGTATGCATCAGTATGCTTTGACAATAACACTCATTTTGGATCTTCCTACCTTTATGTCAAAGTCATTTAAGCTGGATACCAGCCCCAAATTAGGCTATTTCCTATTGTTGAATAGTGCACAATAAGTAAAAATCTAACCTAACGTTTTTATATGTGGGCTTCACATTATTATCATTATTTCTTCAAATTAGGGATACATACATATTTTCAGGTTGAAATTGATTCCTGTCAGAAGCCACAACGGGACAGGACCAAGACCAAAATTAAATTTGATTCAAAATGTAAATAAACGTATTTTATATGATTATTCCTCATAATAATTTCCTTTACTTTCTTAGTTGCAACTCTTAAATGAGATTTGGAGCTATACATAATGATTTGGGGATTAAGAATTATACACCCTTGCTCCAAAAGAAAACACAAGTCCAGATAATCTTCTGCAATATTTTTTATTACTTCGTTGTATTAATGAAGGAGTTTGAATTCTTTAAGGAATAAACTAGTTCAAACAATGTAATTAGAGAAACCAGAAAAAATGTAAGGCACAAATATTATAAAATGACATAACTTATTACATCTCTCACATCTGCAAATGAAGAAACATTTGCTAGTCATATTCTTATTATCTCTAGACCCCAACTTTAGCTTCTAACTTAGGTTTACATACAAATTTAGTTGTCTATGTTTCATTAGATGTCTGAATGCATACATACGAAATTTAAATGCAGAAAAGTTCTAGACATGGAGGAGTTAGGGAACTCTTCTGCTCACTAGAGGAGGCATCTGTGTCAATGGTAAATTGCCTGTTCTACATGCCAAAAGTCCCAAATTCAATCCCCGTCTAGGAAAGATATTTTTTGAAAAGGATAAACTCCATCAGATAATACCTTATTAAATGGAACACTGGGCTAACAAGTTATGTAAATCAGCTGTCCAATAAGTGTAATCAATTTGGTCCCAGACATAGACCAGAAGACCAAGTCTTGAAGAAAATATGTTTTTTTCCAGAGTGAACCACTAGGCATGGTAAGAAAAACAATTTGGCCCACTTCTTGGCCAACTGTATAATATTGGCACATATAGAATTCTCTTTATCAATATTCTAGTACCGTACACACATATCAGATTTCAATGATATTGGAACATGTGCCTTGGCCAAGCTTCTAACTCTTGTATAGTAAAGGGTTAGAATAATGACTGAAGAAAAGGCATTCAAAATACATGAACATTTATCCACATAGATGGGACTCAAAATCTGCTTTATCTTAAAACTGTCTTAAAAATTCTTCCTATTAAGTTTTGAGAATATTATTCTAATTAACGTACTGCGTATAATCTGTATTTTAAGCATATGATACTTTAAAAATATCAACCATGAGTATATGGAAAACTGGTCCCCTTTATTGAAATAAAATTTAAAAATAACAGCCTGTCAGAAAGGGTTTTTAAATCATTATTAAAAAATACTTATAATATTTATGCTTAGGAGACCCTGCACTTACAGAACTGATCACATTGATTTATTATGTTTGATCCCATTTCTAAAACATTCAACCTTTCGGCATCCAGGCTTTCTCATAGACTGAACACATATAAATTTAAGAGTTAAAATAAAAGCAAAAGTTTTACCATATCATCCATTTCTTCTTCTTTACTATATCGTGCATAATCTTTCCTCAGGGTCCTCATTAAAATCATAGAAACCAAGCCCACCAGGAAAATAACCATCATAAAGGAATTGAAGATTGAAAACCAATGAATCTAAAATAAAAAGTAAACACTCATTAATATTATTATTTTTTATTTACAAGCCCATAGATCTATAATTATGAAGAAATGTTCTAAAGGATGACATTAACTTTTTATGAATAGAAAGGAAGTTGAACTACATATAAAACTCTGCAGCCTTTTTGTCTGGCAAAGGCAAAATATATAATATAATATAATAAAACACTAATATTTCACTTTTTCCATTCTGAATAAATGCAAAGCGATACAGACAAAATCTATTCACATTTTATTTTAAGTGAAAAGATGAAAATGGTTTTTTCTTCTTCTCTAGTATCACGAAGTTACAATAACGAATCTAAGATTAGTAACTTGTTCAAATTTATTTGAAAATGATTTCAGAAAAAACGAAGTACGGGTCAATAGTCCATTCTTCAGCCGACTATGATTTCTTCAGAAGCCAGGATAGAAATTTGCAGGCTACCTTTCTATTGTAATTTATTAGAAAGCCAATACCAGTAATTTTTCACAACATGAATATATTAAAGGCTCAGTGAAGATGCCCTGAGAAGATACTGGCCCCTAATTAAAATATATAGAAAGGATATCCTTTGCTCAAATAATTAATGATATTGTAAAAAGGAATTACAAAAGTAAGGAAGAACGGATATGTAAAGTCGGTGTAAAGTCAAGTCTACCGAAAAACCACTCATGCCAACCAAGTCCTCCACTATTAAAGTAATAACCCAACTTCCCACAAGAGCTGTATGAGAACACTATTTAGATGAGGACAAACATATTGCAGCAACCCTGAACTTCAGAAAAAGGATTAGGGGGAGGGTGTCAAGTCCCCTCAAACCACATTTTAGGGGGCTCTGCCATTCTGTTGGGAGAGGGAAGGCTGCACTCTGTTGGGAGGGGGGAAATCTTGTGGACTCTGGGATGTATTTCCTTTACTTTGTTCTCTTCACCTTTGATGTATTCTCTGGGTGTGAAAGGGGGGGCGAGGAATGTGCCTGGGGCCATCTGCCTTATCTCTTACTCCACTGGGAAGAGACCGGGAAGAAACAGCAATGCCTGAGAACTACACCTTATCGCTCCAGTTCCCGTAACAACTTCACACCTATGGACTGGCTGAAGTCAAATTTGCGTGGGAAAACTTTAGATCTTGCTTTGCTTTCTTGCTATCACTATCTCTCAATTAAAGTTCCTTTCGAAACAATGCTTGTTTCAAGAGTTCTGCTTTCTTGGGAGGAGTAGTCGAGGCAGGACCTTACATTAAGCAAGATCTGCAAAAAGGTCAACCCAGAGAGGCAACCGCCCCACCGTGGGGACCGTGAACATCCTGTACCTCCATAGCAACGAACAAGATGAGACAGAGTGCTGGGGAGAGTCCTCTGCAAACACCCACCCAGAAGAAAGTTCCTATGGATGGATGGAAGAAATGGTAAACGTAGAAAGCTCCACGAAGCCAAGATGGTTGCTCAGAGTAGGTAAGAGAGAAGAGTGGGAAGGAAAAGCCCAGCAAGTAACATTTACCTGAGGCAGCCGGAAGAAGGGCTGGAAGCGGGAGATGGACCTGCTCTCTGATGACAGGGACGAATCCTAAGGAGAGCAGGAGTCGACCGACCAGATCCTGAAACAAGCCGTGCAATACATGGTGGACGCCTTTCAGGACCTAAAGACAAAATCCAGGCGACGTAGGAGCAAAAGGAAGGATCAACTGGAAGAAACTGAATGCGGGGGGAATCGGGAACGACCGAAGCCGCGGCGGGGGCAACTGGATCTATGGAAACGATGACGGCCACCCTGGCGGCACAGCAGCCTGTAGCTCCCGGGGGGGGACGCTCCACCAGCCCCTAGAGGGAGAGCCCCACCGGAGGAATCAAAACTGGTTCCCCTAGGGGTGAAATTTGACAGAGACCCCTAGCAACCGAGCTTCTTCCTGGCTCATGTGTTCACCGACATGCAAGTATATGGGAGCACTCTCCCCAGTGAAGAAGTCAGAGTCAGGGTCATCACCCTAGCCCTGGAAGGAACCACAGCCCAATGGATGGTTACCCTGCACAACTGCAATGCACCAGAGCTCTGAAACTTTAACCGTTTCATGACTGCCCTGGGACGGAGATTTGAAGACTGCCTGGCTGATCAGAAGGCAAGAGATCGAATCAAGACCGTGAGTCAGGGGCATTGACTGGTGGCTGAGTACACGGAGGAGTTCCAAGACCTGGCATGCCACCTTAACTGGCCCGAAGACATCTTAATCAGCTGTTTCCAGAATGGGCTGAATGACGACCTGTACAATGCATGCGTGGCTAGGGGTGCTCCAGTTCGATTACCTGACTGGTGATTCCTGGCCGAAGAGGTGTAGATCGACCAGTATCGCTCCGGAAAAATGTGGAAACGGTCTCCACCGGAGAAGAGAGAAGGAGCAAAACCCTCGGCTGCGCCCCCTACTCAACCACCTGCTTCAAATGCGGCAAAGAGGGGCATCCTGCCGTGGAATGCCACAGCAAAACTCCCACCAAAAGAGGCAATGGGCAATCTGGAGGAAAGCCGACTAAGCCCAGCCAACGGCAGAAAGACATGGCCCTGAGGAGTGTGAAGGTCATGGAGTTCCATCCAACCTGAAAAACCAGAGGGTGGAACTCCGAACCAACCAGAAGATGAACACGGGACGTCAGAAAGTGACTACGATGACCCGCTGGTAAGTGGACCGATCGCACCAATGACCATGCCCATAGAACTGTTAATTCCGGGCAGAGAAGGAAAAATAACCCTTTAACCTTCATCCTGGGGTTGGCATGGCTGAAAAAATGGAACCCGCTGTTAGACAGGTGAGACTGATAGACTGGTGAGAGGGACGTTTGAAATTCCCCAGAGAAAAGAACCCCTTACTGAGCAAATGAATACTCGCAGGAAGGAAACAGATCAGGGAGATAGCGGCCACTTTGAGCAGTGAGGCCATGCAAACCATGCCCAGTGAGTACCAGGATCCGGCTGAGGTTTTCAGTGAAAGGGGTTTGGACAAACTGGCCTCGCATCGGCCCACAGACTATGCTATCGAGATCGTTCCCGGGGCGAAGTTACCAAAGCCAATGCTGTATTTGATGACCCCCAGGGAATTGAGCAAACTATGTAGGTTCATCGACAAAAACCTGGCCCGTGGGTTCATACAACCAGCCAGACCACAGGTAGCCGCACCTGTGCTGTTCAAAGAAAAGAAAGACGGGTCTCTTTGTCTCCGTGTTGACTATAGAGGTTTGAATGCTGTATGCGTGGAAAATGTGTGCCCCCTGCCTCTCATCAAAGATATGCTGGCCCACCTATCGGAAGGAAAAATACTTTCTAAGTTGGACCTGCGAGAGGCATATTATAGAGTTAGGATTAAGGAAGGAGACGAATGGAAGACTGCTTTCAACTGCCCCCTCAGATGCTTTCAATTTAGAGTGCTCCCGTTTGGTCTACAAGAGGCCCCAGCCGTGTTCATGCAGCTGATCAACGAGGCGCTCCGTGAGCACCTGTATAAGGGAGTTTTGGTATACCTGGACAATATATTTGTACCGAAACGAGGTGAAACACATGAAGTTGGTCAGAGCGGTCCTAAATAAACTCTGAGCGGCTAAGCTTTGTGCGAAATTGTCAAAGTTTGAATTCCATAAAGAGAAAATTGAGTACCTAGGCTACAGGATTTCGCATGACGGGGTGGAGTTGGACCAGGAAAAAGTATGCGCTGTCTTAGATTGGGCGGGCCCCGCACCAGAAACAGCTACAAAGCTTCTTGGGCTTTGCAAATTTCTACCGACAGTTCATTCCCTCTTTCACCCAGATCGCTTTACCTATCACAAACTTGTTAAAAACAAAAGAGGTGAATAGACCCAGCCATTCCCTGAAGTGGACTATGGAATGCCAAGCGGCATTTGAAAAATTAAAAAGACTTTTCTTGACAGAGCTGATTCTGAAGCACCCAGACCCAGAAAAGGCATTCATAATCCAGGCTGATGCCAGCGATGTAGCAGTAGCAGCGGTGTTACTCCAAGACAACAAACAAGGAAAACTGCATCCCACATTCCTCTGAGGCCACAGACACCTCTCCCTCAACCTCCATAGGCTCCAGTTCCAGCTCATTTTCCTCAGCAGATTCAGGCTCCGACAGAGCCATGACACATCCAGACTCAGAGAGACCATTTGTCATTCAGGCCGATGCTAGTGACATGGCTGTAAGTGCAGTACTGCTCCAAGAAAATAAAAAATCTGGAAGCATTGAAAACCCCAAGAAAACTATCCCCTAAGCAGGGGCACTCAACACTTCCAAAGCTTCAATTTCACCCTCCGCTATTTACCAGAGGGGAAGAACTTCCTTGCAGACGCTCTATCTAGGCCAGGGCTTTTCAATCAGTGGTACGGGTACCACCTGTGGTACATTGGCACCTGGCAGGTGGTACGTGACCATCCTAGAAAAGTGGTAGTGGGGGAGGGGAATGAGCTGAACCGGTGGCAGCACCACACAAGCCTGAGCGAGAGATGGCTGGAGCTGCAAGGCTGTCAGGGCTCAGCGGAAGCGCCAGAATCAGCGCTTCTTTGGGACTGTCAGGGCTCAGTGGAAGAATCAGGATCAGCGCCAGGCTCCAGCTGGAGCTCAGCGCTGATCTTGGTGCTTCTGCTGAGCCCTGAAGAAGCGCCAATCAGTTGGAATGTTGCAGCATCTCCAGGGTCTTGTGATTTACATTCAGATGCTTGGCAACTGATTCATATTTATGACGGTCACAGTGTCCCAGGGTCATGTGAAGTGACCAAAACCTGCTGTAACCACCCAGCAGACGGGGGGAATAAAAACCAAACACCCCCACCCCACCCCTGCTGCCAATCCTCAACAGAAATGCTCACAACAATGAAAACCTCGGACAGGAGGAAGAGCGCCACTGGGCGGGCAGACAGGTGTCTTGCTCTGGGGGGCACTTTTTTCAGTGCCATTGTAACTTAGAACAGTCACTAAGTGAACTGTTGTAAGTCAAGGACTACCTGTACTTCATCACTTTTTTTCTTTTTTTTCTTTTGGTCATCAAGTTTTTGACACCTTGCTAGGCGACTGGTGGTACTCGGATGTTGCCATATCCTAAAAGTGGTACAATGGGTGAAAAGGTTGAAAAGCCCTGATCTAGGCTACCACAATACAACAGCATAAAGACCAAAGTAGTCAAGCCTTTACTCCCTCATAGCAGCTAGCAGCCCCAGTAACCATGAGGGCACAATCAAAAAGCACTCCACCATTAGACAACATTACCACTGTGGTTTTCAAGCTGGGAAAAAAATTAATGGTTCCCTTAGCCATAAAAACCTCTGTTCCATGAGGAAGGGGTACTGACATGGGTAGGGGAGAAATTGTACGTCCCAGCCAACCAGAGATTAAAGATTATGCAAACCTGTCATAACTCAAAAGTGGCTGAGCACTTTGGAATTGTAAAGACCCTATACCTGTTAAAGAGACAATTTTGGTGTCCCTCTATCAAAAAGGACATACGAGGGCTATGTAGCCAGCTGCCCTACCTGTGCAGCAGCAAAATGAAGGTAGGGGAAGACACCTGGCCCTGTGTAGCTGATTGCAAGCCCTTCAGCACTATGGACTTTATTGTAGAATTGCCAGAAAGTGCAGGAAACATTGTTATTTGGGTGGTTACTGGCCTATTTTCAAAGCAGGTCCATTTCATCCCATGTCAGAAGATCCCAACAGCAAAGACTCTAGCAAAGTTATTCCCCCACCACGTCTATCGTCTACGTGGGGCCTCACATCGTATAATTTCAGACAGAGGGGTCCAATTCATTTCTAAGTTCTGGAGAGCATTTTTGGACCTCCTGGGGACGGACCAGAGCCTGAGTTCTAGTCATCATCCTCAAACAAATGGTGGGACAGAACGAACGAACTTGGTACTGGAACGGTACCTCCGATGCGTTATCAGCAGGACAATTGGACTGACCTCCTGCCATTCGCTGAAGTGGCGTACAATAAAGCTATTCATTCTAGCACTGGGTTCATCCCTTTCAAGTGGCCACAGGACAAGAAATCAACCCAATGCCCTAATTGCCCACCAATGAACCCACAATTCCTTCCCTTAAGGAATGGATGAATCAGCTACAAAATACTTGGCCAGTTGTCAGGAAAGTGCTAGATGAGGCTACAGCAGCTTTTAAGGCCCAAGCAGATAAGAAGAGAATGAAACCTAAGCCAGAGAAGGTGAAATTGATTGATTGATTGAACCTTTTTTTTTTGCACACGGCAGCGGAGGCCTAAAGCAAAAAGGTTTTATAAAACCCAGCTGAAGGCCTAGGACTGGGGCGACGGCGTGCGTGCCCACAGAGTGGGCTCTGCGTGCCACCTCAGCCTTAAGGCAAATCCACCCTGTATTCCATTGCAGCCTGCTAAAACCTGAAATAACCTCGCCTTTACAGCCAGCAGCTCACCCAACACCACTACCCATCATGGTAGAGGGTGAGCAACACTTTGAAATTAGGGAAATCCTAGACTCCCATAAACACCATAGAGCCACCCAGTACCTGGTGGCCTGGAAAGACCTCCCAGAAAGAATGGGTTCACAAGAAACATGTTAGAGCGCTTAGATTACTCAAACGCTTTCATGTCTGTTACCTAGATAAACCCGATTAATCTATGTATTCTCGTTTCCTTCCCTTTTTCTTGTTTTCTATTTCCCCCGGTGGACTTATCCTTCTTTTAAGGGGGGGCGGCATGTCAGGTCCCCTCAAACCTCATTTTTCAGGGCTCTGCCATTCTGTATGGAGGGGGGGAGGTTGCACTCTGTTGGGAGGGAGGAAGTCTTGTGGGCCCTGGGACGTATTTCCTTTAATTTGTTCTCTTCACCTTTGACGTATCTCTCTGGGTGTGAAGGGGGGAAGGAATGTGCCAGGGGCCATCTGCCTTATTTCTACTCCACTGGGAAGAGACCGGGAAGAAACTGCAACCCCTGAGAACAACTGACAATTGAGCGCAAAATTTATGTCACTAAGTGAGAAATTTGTGAAGAGTTTTGTCCCACTTTACGACTTTTCTCACCACATTTGTGGAGTGAATGTCTGTAGTTCTTAAATGAGTAAGACGGTTGTTAAGTGAATCTTGTTTTCTCATTGACTTTGCTTGTCAGAAGGTCGCAAAAGGGAATCACATGACTCCAGGACACTGTGACTGTCATAAATGTCAATCAGTTGTCAAGCATCCAAAATAAATCATGTGACCACAGAGATGCTACAACAGTCATAAGTGTGAAAAATGGTCATGTCATTTTTAAGTGCTATTGTAACTTTGAACGGTCACTAAATGAAGTATTGTTAAGTCAAGGACTAAATACACATATATACACACAAAGTCAAGGAAAACACAGAGAAAAGAAAATTGGTGTGGACAGGATCAAGATCGAACAATATGGTAGTATCAGAGACATAATTCTGATCTTGCCAATGTTAGCCAATTTTAACATTTTCATATCAGTTATAAAAATAGTTTGAACTTTACATTTTTGGACGTAAGCAGGAGTGGAGTTGTTAAGCCATTATAAGGAATTTTGTAAACTTGAGATATTTAGCATTTTTTAAAGTCTTATGATGAGGGGGTCCCTTATCCTTTGGACTGGTGGACATATATTTGGAATACATTTTGTACATTTGAGTACATAATGGATAATTTAAAAAAACAGTTGCCAAGGTGGCTGTGGCTTGTAACAAAACATCATTTACCACTAAACTAACTAGTGAGGTTACTTCCCAACGTCTTCTCTCATCTATCCTACCTCTGTCTTTGAGGGGGGGAGAAAAAAAGAGAGTTCCAAACAAAATATTTGGTTGTAGCCACCCATCGTTTTATATAAATGCCTCTATGGTCTACTTGATCTAGGGAAATAAATATTTCATTTTAAGCTGGTGCTTTGCAATAATCTATCTATCTATCTATCTATCTATCATCTATCTATCTATCTATCTATCTATCTATCTATCTATCTATCTATCTATCTATCTATCTATCTATCTATCTATCTATCTATCATCTATCTATTTATTTGAAAACCCTTGAGCCCCAAGGAAAATATCACCAGGCACCATCTTGAGTACATAGGTTTGAATATAATGAAATATAAAAGAAGCATACCCTGTGTTGAAAGAAAGATGGGTCAAGATATTTGTCAAATCTATCTTCAAACTTCACATCTGACTTTTTCCATTTCACCTGGAGAGAAATTACATTTAGAAAATCTGACACAGTATGTTACAAATCAACAAGATCAACCCAGTTCCAATTCCAGACAACACTAAGAGAAACAGGGCAAACATCGATGAAGAACAAATGCTGGAAACCGGAATAGCATTAACTGCTAACATACTTTTTCTAGCAAGCCACTGGTACTTTCAGGTTTTAATGAATGACATCAGTATACAAGGAAAAAAATGTTTTTAAATGTTTTAAACCACTATAAACTACCCAGAGTCACTAGAAGCCAGTAGTAATTTTATTTATTTTTATTATTAAATTAAGCAAGTATAATGTTCTGCGAGAGATCTTTGTCTAACAACTACTCGTTCAATATAATGAAATGTGAGAATGAACTTGGAAGATAGGGGCAGGGGGAAATGCTGCCTAGGAAATGATTAGATAAAAGGGGGAGGAGCCCACAACTGAGTACAGATAGTCCTCAACTTACGACCACAATTGAGCTCAAAAGTTCTGTTGAGACATTTATTAAGTGAATTTTGCCCTATTTTACGACCTTTCTTGCCTCAGTTGTTAAGTGAATCACTGCAGTTGATAAGTTAGTAACCCAGGTGTTAAGTGAATTTGGCTTCCCCATTGAGTTTGCTTGTCAGAAGGCTGCAAAAGATGATCACATAATCTTGGGACACAACAACCATCATAAATATGAACCAGTTGCCGAGCATCTGAATTTTGATCACGGGGGACGCTGGAAAGGTTTAATTGTGAAAAATGGTCATAAGTCACTTTTTTTCAGTGCCACTGTCCCTTTGAACAATCAGTAAATGAAGTGTTGTAAGTCAAGGACTATCTGTAATGGGCAGAGAAAGAAACTTAGAAAGGATCTAACCTGACTGGTAGTAAAAAGAGACAGCAGGAGATCTGTTCTTTCAGATTTGCAAGATTATGTTAATGTAGCTTTAAAGTCAAGAAACATTAGTTCGTCATGTCATGTTTCCTGTCTGGTCTACTTGGAAAGCTGACATTCAGAGACTGTTCAAACTTGCAACAATGCAAGTTATTACCAGTCCTCATTGTTCTAGCCCAGGGGTAGGCAATCTTGGCTCTTTTATGACTCGTGGACTTCAACTCCCAGAATTCCTGAGCCAGCATGTTTGCGCATGTGCGTGGGCACGAACGGAAACACTAGTGCGGGGGGCATCCGTGCCCCATTTGTGCATGCACGAACGGGCCACTAGCACGGGGGGTGTGCGCGGCCCATTTACGCAAGCACAAACGAGCCGCTAGCGCAGGGGTGTGTGCACGGCCCATTTGCGCATGCGCGAACGGGCCACTAGTGTGGGGGAGGGGTGCGTGGCTCATTTGTACAGCCGCGCACCCGTAGTGGGTGCTAGCCACCACAGGGGTGCGCGGCTGTTCACGCATACACAAGCACAGCTGCTAGTACTGCGCCAGTGGGTGTAGCCCCATTTACGTGCGTGCACATAAGCTGCTCTCCCCTCCGGGCAGGTTGGAAAACTTTGCTTTAGATTATCCTTCTTGTTGTGATTTGGATAACACTATGCTAAGGCTGGAGTGAGTAAGCAGACAACGAACTATGATACATATTGTGATTAAAGCCCACCATCATAATATATGGACAATACTTGGACAAAATGTGGTTCTGCCAACTTGCTATTTCTGCACCTTAACAGCTATGTAATCATGACCATTATTATTTATAAATTCAGATTACTTACAGAGTAAGACATCTGGATTTTAGTGTTGGGCACCAATTTAACTTTCCCTTCGCTTGTCAGATTCACATCCACAATTCTATTTCCATTATAACCTATTTCCAGCTTTTTATATGTCCAGAGATAAAAATCTTCACCATTTTCATCTGCTTCACCAACAATACCTGCAGAGGGAGAAAGTGAGGAAAAGAAATTAATTTTACTGCACTAATTAACCACTGATTAACTAAAAATGGGAAAATGTTGTTTTGAATAGAGTTAAAAGATTAGATGATTGGATTTAATTATGGGTAAAGAGAACAGAATAAAAATGGAAATAAATGTACAGTATACTAGTTTAAGAGGGATGTGTATTTTAAGTAGTATATTATTTTCTTATTTTTTTCCCTTTTTTTCCTTTCTTTTTCTCTCTCACGTCTTTTCTTTTTTGTGTGTCTTTTTCTTACTTATTTTTTTAAGACATGAAAATAGATTTAAACACTTTAAGGTAATTAATTCTGGGAAAATTTTAACCAGTAGAAATGTTTTGAACATAAAGCTCAAGACTGTATTGATTGGAAACATGCGGAAGAGGTCTTCATCCTGCAGGGGACAGACAATGGCTAGAATGATGATGATAATTCATACATTGTCCTACATCAGACATGTCAAACACAAGGCCCGGGGGCCGGATGCGGGCCGCGAAGTGCTTTCATCTGGCCCGCGAAGCCATCCTGGAAACAGTGAGGGAACGGGCCCGCTGCCTTGGCCCTGGCCCAGGCCAGCTGGGAGCCAATGTACAATTTTGTGGTGGCCATCTTGGCACTTGCCCCGGTGGACCATGCCTTGGCACTTGCCCCGGTCCCACCCCCTTCTGCCAGAGACCCTCAGATCTGTCCCACTCCTGCCCAGGCCTCCACAGGCACCCTTGATGCGAATGATGTAGAACTGGCCACGCCCACCCAGTAGGCCACACCCACTCCATCCATGCCCATCCAGTAGGCCGCACCCACTCTGGCCACATCCACCCAGCCCCACAAAGGCAACCACAATGCTGATGCGGCCCTCAGTGAAATTGAGTTTGACACCCGTCCTATATCATAAGATGCTTGGTTTATGACATTTATGTAAATTCAGTCAAATATGATTTATTAAACAATCATTAAACTATGGTTTGGAATAAACATAGTTGTTTTCAATAGAATGGTTGTACTTCTACACATTGTAGGCATATGTTTCTTACCCCATATTGGCAAATCATCAATGTACATCTGATACCAATAGTGATTTTTGATAGCATAAACAAATGCATCTCTTGTTTGTTTATCTAAATCTATTTCACAGTAGGTGGTCTGCATGACATCATCTGCAAAAAGCAAAACAATGTGTTAACAGTGGTTTCACAGATTGTCACATCAATATCATCAAAATACATTTTACTAATGAATCAGTGCAAATATACCAATCTTGCTCTTATGCTGTTAGTGCCATACATTTATTTCCAATACACAGAGTATAAGACTAACCTAATTTGAAAGGGAAAACAGAAGTGTAAATTCTATTTATGTGGAACAATTGCATAGTTAGGATTTTGAAATAAAAATAATTTGCCAAATGCTATGATTCACCATATAGGCTATGAGCCTATATTCAGTTAAATCCAACCAAAAGCATCCTATCAATTCTTAAGAGGCTTATTTCTGTTGGAGCCTATGCAACTTGTATTTGGGATGGTCTTCCAGTAAGGGTTTGTATTTATTGACTTAATTCCTCAAACTAAATTTTATAAGGACTTTTTAGCTGTACTGATTTTCATGGCAGACGCAGCTCCAGGATACATGTCAGCATCATTTTTCCAAATTAATTTTGCTAGCACATGTACTGAACTGGGCTAAAGCTAAAACAAACAAACAAAAAAGTACACTTAGTTTAGACCATTGTTTCTAAATGTAAGCAACTTTAAGGACTTCAACTTCCAGAATTCCCTAGCCAGCAGGGGGAAACTGAGGAATTCTGGAATCTGAAATCTACTCATCTTAAAGTTGCTAAAGTTGAAAAAACACTGCTTTAAACAGAGCTCTCAGAAAAGATCACATTCTTTTTCTCTGAGGGCTTACTTACTTGGTCTGATATACTTAAATCACTACAAAGCTTTTTCTCTACTGCACGTTAATGTTTTAAACTTGATAGTATTAGAGCAGGGATGTCAAACTGCCGGCCCGCAGGCCGAATGCATCATAGCAAAACTGCGCCCACCCCATTGCCAGCAATGGCAAAAAAGTCGAGATAGGTCACGACACATCACGTGATGTTGCGAGTTTGACACCCCTGTATTAGAGGGAACAAAGAACACTATCGCCATTTCTAAGTGAATATGCTCAAGTGAAACTAAACAAGCTGAGTCTCTAGTGCACAGTCCTTTCTATAAGATTCCACTCTTATAACTTCACTTAAAATTAATAGATCTGGTAGAATTATAAATGATTATATCCACTTTCAGCTGTCAACTAGCATCCTGTGGATCAATACAAAAGGCACAGGTTTCTGTTTCTACTGCCATTTAATTGCATCATTATGTATTAGGACAACCACAGTCTATATTATTATTTATTACTAGCTGTACCCAGCCACGCGTTGCTGTGGCTCAGTCTGGTAAAAGCGTGTGTTGCTTTTACGTCCAATAGATGGCGCTGTTTTTCAAAAAAGCATGTTTTTACCTGTCACAGGTGTGACATCTATATAATATAGGTATATAAAAACACACACGTATTCGAATGCAACATTGTGTCAAAATTTCAAAGCAATCGGTGAAGAACTTTCGGAGATTTAAGATTTTGAACAAACGAACATTTACATTTTTATTTATATAGATTGTATTAGATCCTTTTCCCTGCCTTTGCATGTTTTTAATCTACCTTTTTATTATTTCTAATGCAAGGGCATTTTTAAAATAAATTCTGAAAAACTCAAAACTGTAGGTTTGTCTGCTAACCAGTCCAATAATTCTCTAAAAACAACACAGTAGAATAAAATTTGATGTGGAGCAAGAAATCAGCAAAAGAAAGTAAAAGTTTGAAAATGGTTCAATAAGGCTAAGAGCTGTGGGAGAGGCAGTTGGATGGTGGTTCAAAATATTACTGACTCCTCTATTCTAATTCTTAACTGCTAATATTATTATAAGACTGAGGTCTGTTCACAAATCCCATCCAAATCAATTCACGAACAACAAATACTCAATAATTCAAACTAGCTGCAGAGAAAAAAAAAATCAAACACAGAAACCGATTCTGAGACAATGGCCTAGATCAGGGGTGTCAAATTGCCGGCCCGTGGGCCGGTGGCATCATACGGAGGCCACACCCACCCCAGCAATACATCGCGACACGTCACGCCACGCAGCGAGTTTGACATCCATGGCCTAGATTCCAAAGTAGGCTTATATGTCTGGAGATTGAGCCATGCCGAAGTCTTATGTTTCAGTTTGTCAGAAAGCATAAAACCAGCCACAATGTTTTATTCCGTATTTTTAAAACATGATTCAATCCTTCTTTTGAATACATTTTTATTTTATTCGGAAAATTAAGGTTAAAATACAAATTCCAAAAAAGGGGAAAAGAAATTTTACAAAAACAAAACAAAAATAGGCAAAACATTAGAAAAGAAAAAAAATGTGCATTAAAAAAGACGAAAGACAAAAACACACATATACATATATTATCCCCCCTAGTTAAATACTGATAAATATATTGGAACAATGTTAGTTTCCCCCCCCCCCATTGCGAAGCAGGACCAAAATTTATAAACGTCTACCTCCATTTGTAACCGATTTGACCTGCCATCTAGCTACTATATATAAAGACAAAGTAGTTAACAGGAGAACCAACAGCAAAATTAAAACTTCAAAGCCCTCTGTTAACAATCTATTATATTTAACCGGTAAATCACCACAATCATTAATTCTAATCCACCCAGGATAAAATACCCTCGTTCGATTCTTAATAACAAAACTTATCAAGATTTTAGTTGAAAACTTTCCCAACAATTGTGTCTTATTCCCTAAAATCATAAACCTCTGCTGTCAATCAATTTTCCCTGTCCAGTCCAAACTGTTTTCCAGTTAGATATAATAAGTCCATTTTCCAGTTAGATATAGTAACTCCATTATCACCATCAATCTTATCCATTGATTCTGTTAACTCCAAATTTGTAGAATCCGTATCCCCTTCAGCCTTATCCAATAAACCTGCACTTTCCAAACCAAGTTCCTTTTCCTTTAAATCGGACGACAACAATTTAAATTCCAATCCATCCAGTTGTGAGTTTGGTTTGCATACAATTGGTTTTGTCTGGATATCTTCTTTAGATGGATTTGTCATTTTATCAAACTTTGACCAAAGTTTTCCATTTGAGCTTGTTAGTTAAAAAAACATTCTTTTTTCAAAGGCCTCCCGGGGCTTTATCTTTAAATTGGTACATAGTTTGCATTTTAAATATAGACCTTGGCATTCACAACCAGATTTTATATATTTACATGCATTTCCTTTCAAAACAAGGGTGTTAAATATGCTGTAATAAACTAGCCACAGAGAAGTTGAGATATTTTGCATAATAAAGAAGGATGGAAAACAAAGAAAAAAATAGAAAATTTTCAAGAAGCATTAAAAAAAGTAAGACCAGGGCTTTTTAAAAGTTAAGAAAATGTGAAATCCCTGAGTAAAAATCTGATACAAATGAAAATCCAAACAGGTCACTTTCATTACCCAGAAAATGTCAACTTCCATATGGAGAAAGCTAAAGTAAAGCTATGGCAAATCTAGGCAGCATACTAAAAAGCAGAGACATCACCCTGCCAACAAAAGTGGGTATAGTCAAGGCCAGGGTTTTCCCAGTTGCAATGTATGGCTGTGAAAGTTGGATCATAAGAAAGGCTGAGCGCCAAAGAATGGAGGCCTTTGAACTCTGGTGCCGGAGAAGACTCCTTGTGAGTCCCCTGGACTGCAAGGCAATCAAACCGGTCAGTCCTAGAGGAGATCAACCCTGACTGCTCTTTAGAAGGCCAGATCTTGAAGTTGAAACTCAAGTACTTTGGCCACCTAATGAGAAGGAAGGACTCACTGGAGAAGAGCCTAATGCTGGGAAAGATGGAGGGCAATAGAAGAAGGGACGACAGAGAATGAGGTGGCTGGATGGAGTCACTGAAGCAGTTAGGTGTGAGCTTCAGTGGACTCCAGAAGATGGTAGAGTACAGGAAGGCCTGGAGAAATGTTGTCCATGGGGTCGCGATGGGTCGGACACAACTTTGCAACTAACAATAACAACAACTAGATGGTGAAGGTGACTGAAAACTAGATCGTATAAAGAATGGTTAAATGAACTAAGATTCTTCTGTTAGAGAAATCCTAAGGACAAGTCATATAGAAGGTGGAGTGAACTTACTTTCTGTCATCTTAAAGAACAGGAGCAGAAGCAGTAGCCAGAAATTACAGGTAAAGTAGATTCAGGTTAGGTATCAGGACATATCTACCTATATGGAATATACTGCCTCAAGATATGGCATGTTCATCGTCATTCAAGATCCTCAGATAGATGCTGAATATCCATGTATTAGAATGCTTTAACAGTTTCTGCACTAGGAGTTGGACAATTTAACTTCTAAAATCCCATCCAACTGCAGGAATGTATATTTCTATAAACAGTAGACAGAAGAAAACCATTATCCCCTACTAGCATAATTTGACGAAATCTAAAACAATCCTCCCCATTTAAGTTAAAATTATTTAGGACAGAAACAGGATATGTTTCAATTTCTGATGAGATGATAAATCTGTTTGTTAAAACCCTGTTCACAGCTATATGGAAAACAGACACAAATTTTGGAGAAGATTATAGAGTACTTGGATAAAATACAGTTTATGAAATTATTTGTAGATCAGCAAAAGAAATAATTAACAGGCTAATTACAGGACACTATAATAAATCCCCAGGATGAAATTGATTTTCTGCACTACAAAAATTCTTTTTTTTTTTGACAAAACATTAACTCAAATCATGAATGGAATGCAGTAATGTCAAGTGTGTGGCACAAAGCCCTTAGATCTCTGATTTATAAGAAGAGATCCAACCCATCCAGTATTTTATGGGCTTACTTCTTCATTAGATATGGGCAATAAGCTTTTCACAGCTATTTTTACAATAAGGTTAAATAATCTTTCAGATGGCATAATTTCATTCTAATCACCAGACATCTTGAAGAAACAGGAGAAATAATATCAGATATCTATGTTAGTATCACCAATAATGTCAACTAGAAAAATAAGAAAGTAGCAACATTTTTTCTTGATATAAAAAAGCTTTCAGCAATTTGGAATAGCTCTTCATATTCATAATCTTGAAAAAGATGAACTGCAGTCCAAATTTTTTCTCATGGACTCCAAGAATGTATAAACCAAATCAACTATAAATACATATAGGCCTCATACACATGATATCATGAAAAGGATGAGATAAAATGGTCCTCTTTCTTTTCTGTTTTTACTGACCTGAACCAGTAATAAGAAAGATATAACAGAATAAAATTTCAGGAATTAAACTGGCAAATCGCTAAAAATATTAGTGGAAAGATAATACGCTGCAAGATTTAACCTCTAATAAAACCTCTAATAAAAGATGAAATGTTTTCAGAATAACCAGAAATACCTCATTGGTTTCAATATCCAAATAAGTAATACAGTTCTTTTTGAACTACAAAAACAAGTGGGCTTAATAGATTTTAAAGAATTTGAAATGCTGATACCATGAAAGTCAGAACTTCTGTTTCAATTTATATATGTTATTGAAATATGATTCAGAAATTAAACAATTAAAGACTATATGATTCAAAGGATGCAGAATTTAAACAGGACAATTGATATGCAACAATGGGAATATCAATGGAAGATATATTTTAGGTATACTGTGATTATTACACCTAGAGGAAATTGGTGTTCTTTCAGTAGCATATTATCCAGCAATGGATGATACATATTTAAAAACTGCAGGAAATGTAATAAAGAGCCGTGGTGGCACAGTGGTTAGAATGCAGTATTATTGCAAGCTAACTCTGCCGACTGCCAGCAGTTCAATCTCGACCAGCTTAAGGTTGATTCAGCCTTCCAAGATTGGTAAAATAAGAACCCAAGATTATTTGAGGCAATATGCTGACTCCATAAACAGCTTATAGAGGGCTGTAAAGCACGATGAAGCAATATATAAGTTGAAGTGCTATTGCTATTGCTAATCAGCTTAAATAATTCTTCCATATCTACTAGAACCGTAGTGGCGAACCTATGGCACGCATGCCACAGGTGGCACGCAGAGCCCTCTCTGTGGGCACGCGCACCGTCGCCCCAGTCCTAGGCCTTCAGCTGGGCTTTATAAAACCTTTTCGCTTTAGGCCTCCGCTACCGTGTGCAAAAAAAAAAAAGTTCAATCAACCAATCAATTTCAACTCCTCGCAGGGATAAAAAAGATCTCACAAAGTTGGAATTGATTGAACTTTTTAGTCTCACCCAGTCTGCCATTACCACCGAAGCCATGCCCACCCAATGGGCCACACCCACCCAATAGGTCACATCCACCCAATGGGCCATGCCCACCCGGCACCCGACGATACATAAGTGGGCTTTGGGTTGCAGTTTGGGCACTCGGTCTCTAAAAGGTTCACCATCACTTTACTAGAAGCTCACAAAAAAAAAATTTCTTCCATTCAAGTATGTCCAATTCTTGGAGACTGCCCTGACAAGTCCCTGCAGTTTTCTTGGCAAGGTTTTTCAGAAATGACTTGCCACTGTCTCTTTGCTAGGGCTGAGAGAAAGGGACTCGCCCAAGGTCATCAAGCTGGCTTCATGCCTAAAGTGGAACTAGAACTCATAGTTTCCCAGTTTCTGGCCAGCGTCTTAACCGTTATACCAAACAGGCTCTCTCCTTCATTTTATTACATGTTATATATTTCATGTTTTGAAATCTTTAATATATTTTCCCTTTTTGTCTTTCTTATTTTTTTCTGTTTTCACTCTTCAAATTATCTTTTAAAACTAATACATTTAAATGATTTGGACAAAGGTTTTCCTGTTAAACAAATACAGTAGTTTTTAAAACACCAGCAATCATGACTTTGTGGTTATTTTACCTTTAAATTTGATATCCAAACCGCTGAATTCTAGTTCAACTCCTTGAAGTGCTTCCCCAAGAGTTTCATGGTAGTGATCAATGCTTTTTTTCGATCCGCCACAAAAAGGAAGGGAGAAGTATTTGTATGTTTCCTGGCGATTGTGATATGGTCCTACAGTATTCATCCATAAAACAACTTCTTCTTTATCTTGGTACTGAAAAGAAAGCATATTTTAAAATAAAGAATTATCAATAGGCACACTGTTTAGAATGAAACACATTTTCGGAGCGAAATACGAGGAAAATGCTTTAAAATATTGACAGACAACTCCTGGTTTTGCGTGCCATCCCCAGAAATTATACCATTAAAAAACAGTAATGTGATTACCATCTGCATTTTGGCAGGGAAATCATAATTTAGCAACCCCAACTCGGACCGCCAACTTAGTTGCTAAGTACCACAGTCACTAAGTGGAAAATCACCAGGAAATCCCAGTACTATACATTAAGTCAGGAACACTGAATAAATAGCCAGATCATGCCAGTTTTTCTATTGTTTCAGAGAAAATTTTGTGGACATGATAAAGAACTGAGCTTACTTTACCTTTTTATTTATAAAGCACAATGTCTAGATTCACATAAAAACATTATTAAGCTAAAACTAAGAAGATCACACAAGGGGTTAGCATGATATGTCTAGTGTATCCAGTCAAATTGTTACCAGTTAATGGTGGACGCAGAAATAACCTGATGTTCTGGAACAGCAATTCCCAAAATTCAAATATGGCAAGTTGGAAAAAAACCCAAATCTTTTCACTTTTTGAGAAGTCGTCAAAAAGGAAGACAGAAATGTAGAACTATTTCCAATGCTACTATTTTAACAATAATATATAGCTTGCAGTCATACATAATATTCAATGTACAGGGCAGGGCTACATGCAGCCTTCTGAAGCTTTTTTTTTGGTAAGTACTAAAGTCACTTGAACAACTTTTGCTGAAAACTGCTAATAATTTCTGAGATGGAAAATACTCAAAATCTATGTTGTAAGCCCTTCATTCATTCAATGAGTTCAAGATAGTTTTTGACTTCTAGTCCCAGCAGTTTTCTTGGCAAGATTTTTCAGAAGTGGTTTGCCATTGCCACCTTCCTAGGGCTGAGAGAAAATGACTAGCCCAGGGCTACCCATCTGGCTTTGTGACTAATGTGCGACTAGAACTCATAGTCTCCCGGGGTGTAGCCAAATGATTTAATATTATTAAAAAGAAAATAATGGTCATTTTAGAGTGGTCTGGAAAACTATTCACATAGCCAAGATATAATCCCCAAAGACATGGAATATTAACAGCTTATAATTATTGCTATGGGCTACCCAAACAGACCATTTTATAACATTAATTTGCTGTCTTGTTTAGATATGAAACTATTAAGTATAGTACAGGATAGCAATTTCATTGTATGTTACTGAAAAAAAGCAATATGCTTTACAGAGCAGAAAACATGGACATTGAATCCAGAATTCCAATCTTTTGATGTGTTTTGGATTTCTAGAAATAGAAAACACATAACTAGACTTTTAATACTATGCATCAAACATATACCTGTGCCTATTTTTTTTTAAATGGCTCAAACTTCATAGCATTTCAATAAAGTTAGTGTGAGACATCAATCATTACAAAAACTTTCAATTTTACATGTTGGATGGTCAGAGCCATTTTAAGGCCCAACAAAGGTCTGGTGCCTAGTATATACATGTACATAGTAAGAACATAGTAGCAGAGATACTATGACTCAGGGACACTGCAACCATCATAAAGAGATGCTGGTGGCCAAGCACCTGTAATTTTGATCACGTAACCATGGAGATGCTATGCCGGTTGTGTGAGGACCAGCTGAAAGTCACTTTTCTCAATGCCATTGTAACTTTGAACAGTTGCAGAACAAATGGTAGTAAGTTGAGGACTACCTGTACACATTTTCATGCAGAAGAATTCACAATCAAATCTAGCAGCACATCTCTGCACAAGTTTTCATGTAATTTCCATGGGTAGTTACTTCTATTCTCAAACTTTATTCTCAATATTTTTCTCATCTTTCCAATGTTTTGATCATTTGTGTAACAGCTTTGTCCTGTTCTTCCTGCTGGCACAATGCCCTTGCATTCAATCCCTTACTTTTTATATACTACTTATATGTATCTCTGTTACTTGCTTGACATTTCTCCATCTCAGCAGCTGGATGCTTTGATTCTGACATTTTCAGTCTCTAAGCATTCAAAGACTGCCCTCTATCCTATCATCCATATCATCAGCCATCCTGGTACAGTAGTCCTGAATTTCTTGCATTCTCCTTTGCTTCACATGTGCAAATTTGCTGCCATGCATGTTGCCTTTCCCTGTACAATATTGGAGGGTAATGTTCTTTTTTCAGCCAACCCTCTAATTCCTCTAATTCACAGTTTTTCCACTTCTATTACAATTTTTAATTCGTATCTTGATACTGCTAATTTCTCAACTGGATTTCTATTGCCTTTTTCAAGAAACTCCTTTTTTACCTTTAGAAACTAAATACCATCTATTTTCTGCCATATTGTGTATACACGCTTGTCACATTCGCCTAGGTCACTCTTGATCACATCTCTCCTTCCTTCTCCAATTCCTGAATTTCTTTTCAAGGACACCTTGTAAGTGCAATTGTAAGTCCAAAGTCCAAGCATGTTCTACACATTATTTTCCCAATACCCTGGTTTTCATTCCTTCCTTTTGAATAAAAGCAACAGTGCCTTTTATTAATATTTGGTGTGTAGTGCAAAATATTGTAACCACTAACTTTCAAGGGAATAGCCAGTAAGAGGTTATACTATGTACTCACTGTCTTAGTTTTAGCACTGATGACTTTTGAGTGACACTACAAGGGCAGGTGTATAACTAAGTCATAATGCAAATCTAGCCACTATGTAAAAGCATTGTTGGCAGAAGTGGGCAATGCATAGCCCCCCTGCAATTCCTTGAATGCCCTTTTTTTCCTGCTGCCTTCTGAAGGAGCATACTTGGATTGCACCACTAACAATCTTTGGGAAATCCTTAAAATCGGTGATGCACATTTTCATAGTCTGCCAGCAGAAAACTGAGAGGCAAGTTTTCAGATAAGGTTTAATATGTCTAAAGCAGCAACTCAATTTCAAAAATTTCTGAAAATTAAATAACGCTTTAAAATTTCACCCATTTGTATCTTACACTGCCAATATCCATTGCCCAACACTACTTCCCACCTTTTAAAAAAGTAGAGCCTTACCACTGGTTTATGGCTTACTGTTATGCTTGGACCCACCAATAATTTAAGGACAGAGAGTTTTCTGAAGTGACACTAAAGCTGATCGCATTTATGCTCAAAATCAGTATTATTCATCACTGTTATCCCATTTGACAAGTTCCTACTGCTTTCAACAAAGTTTGCAGGTGCCACTTTTAAAAGCTATTTTTATCATTGTTTGGTTTATACCAACGATATTATTTGGTTTTAAAGTGCTTGGATTTCATATTCTACATCACTTGTATTTTCTTTTAAGCCATTTCTATCTTAATTTATCTGAGAACAGCTTGTATGGAAGGCTTTAGAAAAATAAGAGGCAAACAGAGAAGTCCCTATTTAAATATTGCAATTTCTTGAGATTTTAAACAAGATGTACGCTTTGCTATTTTTTTCAAGCTTCCATCTTTATTTCCCATTTTTGGGGGGGTGGCCCTTTGCTATTTTTGGATCTTACCAAGCAGCTATATTACAACTATAGCCATATGATACAATTACAGTAATCTGACTATACAGGTTGGCATGTGCACAAACAAAGCAAATCAGTCATGTTATTTCTTAACAAATTATCCTGATCAACTGAATAAGATGTGACAGTTGGGTTCCCAAAATGCACAAGCAAACTGCATCTTGGTTAAGCATAACCAGTCAAGTGTTCAAAGCTATACAAACACATCCAGGGCCCACTGTTTAATTATCAGCTTTAACGTGGTGGAGACAAAAGAAATAACCTTTTTTTGGGTAGCTAAAACATCTTGAGTCACGAGTTAACTATTTGAATTTATTCTGAATTGTAGTGTCAGTGTGCTTTATAAGGTTTCTGCCTGCTTTGGGGAAGATTACTTCCAATTTACTTTTATTTTTTTATAAAGATTTTATTATTTTTCTCTTACATACATATATTAATTTTTCAACCAACCTGCTGTCTTGAGTATAACAAGGCTAATACTTCCCATTTAC